CACAGTAGGATATGTTGGTCTCCCAGAATCACATTTTGTGGCTGATTCCATAGCGAAGTATTTTTGTTATTGTGTACCTTTAAGTCATTTCTGACATAGAAATCCTAAGGCAAACCTATTACAGGATTTTCTGGGGCTAAGAGTATATGATTTACCCAAGGTCACTCAGTGGGTTTCCATGGCCAAGTGGGGAATCAGACCCTGATCACCAAAATCATAATCCAATGCTCAAACCACTACACCATACTGGGTCTCACAGGGCCTCTACAGACCAGCTGAAAGGGCCAGTGTCAGGGTGGAGTGAGGGTGTTGCAACTATCCATTGCCCACCCCGACTCCACCTCCAAAGCAGCATTATGCTGACTGACTGACCACATGGCAGGTGGCATTACTGCTCTCCTTTGGTATGGCAACAGCACACCAAATGCCAAAAGGAGTGGAGAAAAGTAGCACCGCAGCAGCAAGGGTAGCTTTTTGCTGTTCTAAAAAGGAGCTGCATTTTGCTGCTTCTCTTCAGAGCCAGGAAAGTGCTGGATTGGAGCATGTAGTTGCTGCAGTCCTGATCTGGCAAGCAAAGCAAAGCAAAGCAAAGGGGCAGCATGGAGCCACTCTTTTGGGGTGGTCTGTACAGCCCCATAGAGAAGTATACCACAAGCATTCGCATATAGAATTATAGCACTATTTTCAACTTCAGCCAATGGAAAACTGAGGCTCTCCCTATACTGAAAACTGAAGAATTCCCTGGGATATTACCATGGTCTAAATGGTATCATAGTGCTATAAATGTGTGGTGTGAATGGCCCCTTGCCACCTGCATAGTTGTAAACTGTGACCATGATATCACTGAACATAAAAGTTCAGCAGGTGGAATTATGCTGTGCTTTCTTTTTCATCAATCTCAGGACTCACCATTTTGCTGGGAAGCACTGGTATCAATCAGTGGCTGGTGGAGAGCAGAACGGGGATCAGAGAACTATCTGATTAGGTTCCTATAATCAGATGCATACTGATCACATCATCTGCCAAGATCTACCAATCATCTGTTCTGAGAGATGGAGTTCTGTACTGTTGGGGAGGAGGATGTTGCAGGATGGAATGACCAATCCTCTTCTACAGTGAGTGATACTGTCATGAAGATTTGTGACAGATCTCTCTAGAGGTTCTTGCTTCTGCTCCCCACAGCATCACAATTGAAATTTAATTTGAAAATGACCTGGGCAGCCACTCTCTAACAATGTCAAGATGTGTTGAGCTATTTATTTATTCAAATACTTATATCCTGCCTCATATCATGGGATATCAGAGTGGTGTACAAGTTATATCCATGCAAATTATTTAAGACAATTTAAATTTAAATAGAAAATAATAAAAAAAAACCCAATTAATATAATTAATATATAAATTCATCAAGTTAAAAAGGTTTTAAAAACCATTACGGTGTGGTTGAAGTCGAGCTCTTCTACTCCTTTCCACCTCAATCCAAAGAGACTGTCTTGGCTTAAGCTAGTACCTGCCATCTGTCATCAGTGATGGACTGGATGATGGCAAACATATTGAATCTTAATCCAGACAAGAGAGAGGTGCTCCTGCTCCATCAAAAGGCTGATCAGGGAGTAGGGATTTGGCTTGTGCTGGATGGAGTTATCCCTGAAGACACAAGTTCACAGCTTGAGTGAGCTCTTGGATTCAGCCTTTGGCTTAGAAGCTCAGCTTTCAGCAGTGGCCAGAAGTGCCTTTACACCTTTAAGGCCAGCTGTGTCCATTCCAAAAGATATCAGATCTGGACACAGTGACACACACCTTAGTTACATCCCATTTGATTACTATAGCACACTCTAAATGGGGATGTATTTAAAGAATGTTTAGAAACTTCAGCTGGTCTAAAGAGCTGTAGCCAGACTGTTAACTGAGGCTGGCTACAGGCATCACATAACTCTCTTGTTGCAACAGCTTCGTTGGCTCCCAGTTTGTTTTTGGACACAATTCAAAGTGGTGATTATGACCCTTAAAGCCCTCTATGACTCACGCCCAGGTTATCTGAAAGACCATACTCTACCGTATGAGCCTGCTCATGTCTTGAGGTCCTCATGGATGGACTTTTCTCTAACTCACCACTCTCACAGATACAGTTCACAGCAATATGCATGGCCTCCAACATTTCACAGACAAAAACTGGGACATACATAGCAAAGCAAAACCAAAATGTGGTTAAGATGATAAAAGTTAGTAATGAGGAAAGACATTCAAACTAGGAGAGGTTTCAAAAGTTTGCTTTTGCTTGAGTCTACTGGGAAGGTATAAACATGGGAGAAAGCCTTCTCATTGGTTGCTCCCGGGCTCAAGAAGTCCTTTCTGAGAGAATTTAGATTGGTACCATCCTTGATATTATTCAACAAGCAAGTGAAGGCTTATTTATTTATTTATTTATTTATTTGTTATTTCAGTAGGTTTATGAAGACTGATGGCTCAAAGGGAATTAACCTTGGAGAATTGTGCTGTATGGTCTATCTGTGTATTATTTATTTGTTGCTTTTAATTGTTAAGTTTTTAAACTGGTTTTAAATTATGGCTTTTTTAATTATATTTTTAACTTTTGTATTTCATGTTTGTTTGTTTTTTAACTGTGTTTCTTTCAACTCTTGTAAGCTCCCTTGAGTCCTGGACATAAGGTGGGAAATTAATTAATTAAAATATCTAAAGGCATGCTGGACAGGGCGTAAGGGGTGGGCAGGAAGAGAGCACAATGGGCGCAGCAGCCCTGGTCATGAAGATGAGAGAGGTGCTATGATGGGTGTCTATAAAGTAGTATGTTCCCTATAAAGTGGTATGTGAGAACAATCGTGCTCTCACAAGCATGACTGCAGTGAAAAAGGGGCTGGTGTGATGATGTCCCCAGAGAGCAATCTCTCTGCTTCATTCTGCACTAACATCTTCAATGAAAGCCCCGTAAAAGGTCCATTAAAGTAGTATAATGAGGAAGTTACTAGTGCCTGAACTGGCTAGGTTTTGCTTCTTTGGAAAAGGTCACAGGTGGCATATCAACTGGCCCCAAGTACTCTGAAGCTGCATCTACATTGCAGAATTAATACTTTGACACTGCTTTAACTACCATGGCTAAATGCTATGGAATTCTGGGATTTGTAATTATTTGAAATATTTAGCCTTCTCTATCAGAGTGCTCTGGTGTCCCACCAAACTACAAATCCCAGGGTTCAACAGAATGAAGCCATGCCAGTTAAAGTGGTATCAAACTACGGAGGGTTGCAGACTGCCAGAAATAGTGCAAATCGAGTCCACTTTTAGGGTTAGGGTTAGGGTTAGGGAATCATGGGAACTGTACTTTATTGTGGCACTAGAGCTCTCTGACAGAGAAGGCTCAATGTCTCAGGGGGGAAAAAACAGTTCCCATGATTCCCTAGCACTAACCCTAACCCTAAAAATGGACTCAATATGCACTATTTCTGGCAGTCTGCAACCCCCCTACATTAATCCTGCAGTGTGGCAGCAGCCTGAGCCACAGACTTCCAGTAACAGGATCTAGGACTGCAGATACTCCTCAAGAACCACAGTTATCACTTCCAATTAGCATGACCAGTGAAAGGTGCCAGGTTCGACTAATCAGCAATTGATTGGGAAGGTAAAAAAATGTGACTGACTGTTGCTACTTCCATAAGGAATATTATTAGTCTGAAGTTCTCTGGCCAGTTACTTTAAAGAAAATTGCTAACAAATAGGTACTGTAACAGGGTGCGTTAGTTGGCCAAAGAGACTAGAACTTAGGAAAGAGATAGCCATCAAATTATGGTACGGGATAGATTTGGAGACTGGTGGTGGTTGCTAAAAAGAGCAGAAAGTCATCTATAGTGGTGATGCATCAACATGGTGGAAGGCCACAGCACCAGAAAACTTCAGGCAGATATCTGACCAGGAGAAATTTTAGCAAGCATGCTTAAAAAACAGAATCATCCTAGAAGCCAGAGGCAACAGGAGAACTGGCAACAGAAGAAGCATCTGTTCTTGGTTGTAAGGAATTGGCTGGTGTGGAATTTAGGAAAATTTGGTTTTAGGGGAAAGGTATTGAGAGCTTATTTGGCTGCAGAAGACTCTCTTACTTATTAGAAACAGCAACCAAGGATGTTTAATATCAGTACATTTAAGCAACCCAACCTATTTTTTTAACCATGACTTGATTTCCTCATGTAAATCATTCCCTGAACAAATGTTAGCTTTGTTTGGAGATCAGCGCACCCTTTTTAAAGCGCCTTATCCCTGACGGGATAGAGGCACATTTAAATTTACAAATGGGTTTTATCGAATTCACCCATGGCCAGGTGAATGCAACTCGTATACAGCCCAATGCTAGCCACGCATATTCTACAGCTTTTCAAAAATGGGATTTCCTGTTCCTGAAAAGCTGCAGAATAAGCCTGGCTAACATCGGGCTGTATATGAGCTTCATTCGCCTGGCCATGGGTGAATACAATAAAAACCATTTGTAAATTTAAATGTGCCTCTATCTCATTGGGGATAAGGCATTTAAAAAGAGTGTGCTAATCTCATCTTTTTTCATCCTGTCACCAGTGGTGACATCAATTAAAAACTACAACACCAGAGGGTTGTAGTGTTTTAATAATAATAATAATAATAATAATAATAATAATAATAATAATAATAATAATATTTATTTGTATCCCGCTCATTGCCAGACAATCCAAGTGGCTTACAATAAAACCCGTTTTGAATTCAGTTTGGTGACAGTAGTTAAAGGTTTTATAGTAGAGGGAGTCTTGTGGTATAGAATTTAACAAGCCCAACATTTCAAATTTTAATATGGAAGATAAAAGCAATATTTGTTGTTGTTTATTCTGTGCCATGAAATCAACTATGACTTATGATGGCCCTATCACAGTGTTTCTTGATGGGATTTCATCAGATTTGTCATTGCCTTCCTCTGACACTGAGAGAATGTGACTTACCCAGAGTCACCCAGTGGGTTTCCATGCCTGAGCAGGGATTCAAACACTGGTTTCCCAGAACCCTAGTCCAAAATTCAAACCACTTTACCACTCCGGCTCCATTGGTATGATGATCCAAATTATTAATTTCACCATATTAGGTGGTTGTTGCAAGGTAACATATATTATTACAATGCTTATATTAAAAGCAAATGTATTCAGTGAACAGATTTGAAGAAATTGTATAAGAAAACAGGTCATATTTAATGAGGCCAACAGGACATTCAGTAGTACAGTGGGCCTTTTGTATATGTGGGGGATCTATTTCGGATCCCCCAGCATATGAAAAAAAAATGTGGGACCCAAGTTAATGGCCGTACGCCTCTGTGCACAGCACTGTGGGTGCACCGCAGGTATGCACGCCATTAAAAAGGGTTTGCCATCCATGTAAGCTTAAAGCCGTGGATGGCAAGCCCACATAAGGCAAATATGTATAAGCTTAAAGCTGCATATGGAAAGCTTTATATGTTTATATGTTTGTGCTGAATAAATTTAGAATGGAAGAACAAAACATGAGCAATTTCCTGTCTTTTGCACAAAGATTTAAAAAGGAGATTACTCAAAGTCATGTGTTAGGACTTGTGTTAAAATTCTGTGCAGTTCACTTCTTCACATATAGACATAAGTCCAATTTTTTAAAAAAATGAACACAGAAAGCTACACAAGTTACCTAGTGTGGTATTACCTATACCAGGGGTATATACTGGTAAATACTCCTCCCACATCTCCTTGAGAGCAAAAACAAATGTCTTTGGGAGGGGGCAATTTTTTTTATCCCTGGAGAACCCTGGGAGTTACAATAGCCCTGGGGACTGCATGCCACATTTGGAGATACTTTGCCCACCAAATGCTTTCAATCTGGGGAGTCTTTCCCAGCACTACTTGCAGAAGCTGTAGACTGAAACAATGAGTTAAATGCCAAACCCAAAATGTTCACATTTTGTATTATTTTGGGACTGAGGGGACCCTCCAAAACACTGAGAGGAAGAGCTGGAGGAAAATGGAGAAATGGAGAAAATTGGGGCCTCACCTGCTTCCTTCAGCAGGAAACTTTCGAGTCCCATTTCCTTGCCATTTACAGAACAGCAAATCTGGATTGAACCTATTGTCTGTATTTTCCCCCAGAAGTTGTGTACTGAAACAAGTTTATCAAAAATCTGTGTTTACTAAAAGGATTCCCCCCTTTTGCCTGCAAAGCCATTGGTGCACATCCAAGCAGTTCTTCTGGACTAAAAGTCTTTTGCACTTTATGCATAAAGACCTCTGCAAACTCAAAGTAATGTGTACAAAAGCAGATCTCCAAAGGCCTGAATGCCAGAAACAACAACTGTGCTAGATCAAACTCAGGAAAAAGTAATGGAACTAGAAAGGAATATTTTCCAAAAAATCAAAGTTTGAATTTCATCTGTGACATTGCTGAAAATTGAAATGCTACCATGTGAAATCTGAGCAGATTTTTGGCTAGAGAAGCTACGGTACTTTCTTTATACAGTAAATCTAGATTGCATTGATTTGCCAAATTGAAACCATGCCTAGATTAAGAAGGATAGCTTTTACTGTCCTAATGATTTCTTAATGAAATACATTTATAATCACAATAGTTCATGAGAACCCTTTGAATAACTTTCATACAAGCAATTTTAAGTTTATTAAAACTTTCTTTCAATATTATTATTATTATTAATAATATTTAGTAATGCATTCTTCCCCATACAGCACACTGATATTATCTCTCTCTATGGATGCCAGGAAATCCTAGATAGCAATGGCTGGTTTGTACTAGTGAATTTCTCTGTCTAATCAGCAATGTCAGTATTCTGTTCCTAACTTCCCCATAGAAAAAGGAACATTCAGCAAGGTAGACCAAAGTAGCTGACTGTCATCTGGAAGAATACAAAATAAAAACCAAGTCTACAAAAGCTGATGCTACAACTTCTTTTGCTCAGTTATTTATTTATTTACTTTGTTTATATGCCACCTTTCTTCCAAGATGGGATCTAAGCTGACTTCCACAACAACAAATTTTTAAAAAATACAAAAAGCTTTAACCCAATTAATAAACAACTCATTAAAAATTATAAAATTGATTAAAATCATATAAAATTTAAAAACAGATAAAATATACATCTATATTACTCAAAGATGCTACAAGATCCTTTTGCATACTGTTCTTCCAGACTAACACAGCTATGTCTCTGACTACAATTAGTTCATTTTTATCCCACCCATCCTCCAAGGAATCTTGGGTGGCATTCCAGTTTACCCCAACTCCACTCTGTTTCAACCTTGTGAACATGCTGTGATGTAGGCCAACCATTCAGTGAGTTTCATAACTGAGGGTGAATATGAGCTTCAGTTTCTACTGTCCTACTGATATTCTAAATAAAGTTGAAATAATAATAATAATAATAATAATAATAATAATAATAATAA